CCCGGGAAACTGCAGGGTGAATAGGTGGGGTTTTAGACAAGGCGGCCAATCTTATTCTTGATACTTGTTGGTTTGGTGGCGCAGGCTACTTAGGAGGTTAAGGCAGAGGAATCGCAAGTTCAAGGCCAGCTTCAGCAACTTAGTGAGACCCTGTCTCAAAATAGAAAATAAAAAGGACTGAAGATGTAGCTTAGCAGTAGTGCATCCCTGAGTTTGTCCCCAGAACCCCAAAATACAAGTTATTCTTGATTCTTTGATGCTCCCTGGAAGTTTTAAAAATCTTCTTTGTCTCCTGTTACTAAAATTTCATGACAAAAATCTGTGTCATATACTGTATGTAGTTCTTTTAAATTATTTTTTATTATTTTATCGCCAATTGTATATTCACTTGTGTATGTGTGTGTGTGTGTGTGTGTGTGTGTGTGTGGTGAGCATGCGCAGTGGGGCAGGCGCGCAGACAGATATGGAAGGGCATTCATTCCATTTGCTGATCTGAGTCGGCTGGTCTCTCTCTGATGCTATTAGGTCCTCCAGAGAAGAATCCCTTAAATTCTCACCTTTGGGTTGTGGGGTGTGCCGGGAGGGGGCTTTGCCCATGTTCTTCAGAGCTTCCTCTCATGCAGGCTGGAGGGATGTTTGGGGGCCACGTGGCATGGGAGCGGGGATCTGAGCAGCTTATCACTCCTTCAATACAGACGTCCAGCCAGTTCTGTTTCCAGCCCATCCTTCACCCCCGCTTGATCTTCATGCCTGGGGTTTTCCGAGGTCTGCAGCCAACATGTCTTCTTTCTTATCTGGGACCCCTCTTAGCTGATGGGCTTTCTGCCTCCTTCGTTCTTCTGAGACAGCCCTCGCTCCTGCCCTGCCCTCCAGGGGGCTTTGGGGGAGGCATGTGGATGTGTTCAGGGTGCCTGGAAGAACCAGGGGCTTTGGCCTGGGAGGTTCTTAGTGATCTCCAAGGTCAGGGTTGGGATGGATCAGAAAGGGAGGGGGAGATGTTGGAGACCACTGGGCTACGGGAGTCTCAGGGGAAAGAGGGACACTGTCATGGAAATAGGATGAGAAGATTTTAGGAGCAGAGAGGAAGAACCCAGGATGCCATCTCAGTTTCTGACTCGGGTGATGGGGCGGCTGGGTGTCTCTTTGATGGCATGACACGGAATAGAGTCAGAGGAGCAGGTGGGCCGAGGTGGGCTGTGTGAGAGTGGGGAGCCCACGGGACCCCAAGTGGGAGCTCCCAGCATGCAGGCGGAGATGGAGTGGGAGGCCCAGCACAGGCGTGCGACCTGCCGAAGACACTGGCTGGAGCCGGTGACTCGGATGAGATCATCGGACGCCGGGCCCTCACAGAAGGAAAGGCCTCTGTCCTCCAGGAGTGAGACAAACAAGGGAGTGGAGCCAAGTGGCCACCAGCCCAGTCCTGTCACGCAGCCCCTCAACATGGCGGCCTTGAGGCTCTGAAGTCAGCTGAAGCCCTGGGCCCACGAGGTCCTGAAGAGCTCTTCAAGTAAGCTCAGCAGCCCCACCCCTGAGCCCGGCCATGGTTCAAGGACAGCTGGTGGGGATGCCCCTGGGATTCCCTTCTCAGGGCAGCCCAGGATCAAAGAGTCGTGGCAGGGCCACCCACTGCCTTGGGGGCACATGGAAGTCCAGGTCAGGTTCTGGGAGCGCCTCTCGGACTCCCACAGACAGTAGCATCAGCTCCGAGGTCTAGCTGTGGGAGGCAGATTTGAAATGTCAGGATGGGATCTGACCCGCAGAAAAGGCTTGCCCCAGGGCCCCTGGCTGTATCTGCCCTGCCAGGTCTGCCTGGGGGTGTGAACGTGTCATCTTGGTGGCTTGCTTGCCGGGCTGTGCACTCTGTGAAGCCCTTGATGGGCTTTCTGAATCTTTCTGAATCTCTGCAAATGTATGAGACGGGAATGGGCCCACTAATGGAGGACAAAACCGAGGCTCAGAGAAGTCAGGTGACCTGCCCGACGTGGAATCTGCCCGTGTCTGTCCTGGACACACTCTCAGGTTAGAACCTTGAAGTTGTGCTGGCCATTGGCTATGTCTCTGTCCTGTGAGACCCACCTCCAAACTTGTCATACCTCAGGGGTGGGTGTGTGTGTGTGTGTGTGTGGTGTGTGTTCCCTTCCTGTTCCTGAGCTCTCCTACCCTCTCCTCGAGACCACAGGAATTCTGGTGAATTAATCTCATTGCTTTATCAAGAAGGCACTTAGAGAAATTACAAGGCAAGGCCACCAGCCTGGTTTTGCTGGCAGCCAGCCGCTGGGGCCATAAAACAAATTGAAAGG